AGGCTCCGGGGGTTCTGCTGCGAAGACCCTCATCGCCTCCTCGTCTACGATTACATGCCCAACGGGCCCTTGAGCGCTTACCTCGCTCGCAACAGAGACCGTTCGTCCGCGCAGCAGCTCAGCTGGGAGTCCCGTTTCCGTATTGCCACCGGAACGGCGAGGGGCATCGCTTACCTGCACGAAGAGTGCAGGGATTGCATCATACATTGCGATATTAAGCCGGAGAACATCCTGTTGGATGCTGGCTACAACGCCAAGGTGTCGGATTTTGGGCTGGCCAAGTGATGCTGCCTAGCAACAGCTCAGGCAGCGGCGTAAGCTCACCCCCCACGGCTGCCTCCAGCAAATCTTCACCACTCGCCCATCGTCGGCCCTCGCCCCCGCTCGTCCTGAATGCACCAAACAGCACCGACCCCGCCCTCTTCCGCCTCCTCCTCGTCGTACTCTCACAAGGGTGGGTCCACCACCCCCGCCACGTCCCCCCTACCGCTATTCCTCCTCGCCGCCCACGACTGGGAAATACCACCCCCTCTTCCCTTCCTCCACCCTCCATCCGCCTCGTCCGCCGCGAGCCTTCCACGTTCCTCTCCCTCCCAGTATCTCGAGGCAGCGTCTATCCCGTAGCTGTACACGTCGGCTTTTGATCCGGTATAGTGGACCCCGGAGATCCACTCCGGCGCCACGTAAACCCCACGTCCCCCTCATCGTCGCCAACACCCTGCTGAAAAAGTCCCTCCCCATCAAACTTGCGCCAGCCCAAAAATCCGACACCTTGGCGTTGTAGCAGCCACCAACAGCGCATGGTTCTCCGGCTTAATATTTCGAATGTATGATGCAATCCCTTGCCCCACTCTTGCGTGCAGGTAAGCGATTGCCCCCTTCGCCGTTCCTGGCAATACGGAAACGGACCCCAGCTGAGCTGAGCTGCAGCGCGACGAACGGTCCTCTGTTGCCGGAGCGAGGTAAGCGCTCAAGGGCCCGTTCGGGCATTGTAAATCGTAGACGAGGAGGCGATGAGGCGTCTCGCAGCAAACCCCCGGCAGCCCTCACCAGGCGTTCACCGGTGCTGTATGCTGCCTATCGCTGCGGACCTCCGGCTCTTGAACTCCCGCCCTCTGCGCCGCCACTGGCGCTCCAAGCGCTGACGCGTACGGGCTCGAGCTCCGGTAGCGCCTCACCACGGCAACACCACGAAGACCAACCGTGCCCAAGCTTCTCGTGAGAAGCGCGCGTCGCGGCGGACGAGCTCTTTGTACGTGAACACTGCCTCAGGTGCATTTCCCTTCCATGGCGTAACAGATGCCCTGTCCCCTTCTCCTTCATCACCATATTTACTCTTGATTAGGTCACAGCACCTTCCCTGTTGATCTCCTTCCATTTAATTACCCACCGCTGCGTTAATTAGGACCAAGCATACCAAAAACAGAGAGGGACCGCAGACACTGGCAATTAAGGACTCTTGTTTTTCCGCTTGTTTTGTTTGGGGGAGCGCAAAGAACCGTCTCCCTCGGTGTTGCCGCCTGGGGGGCATGAAACCCGAAGATAAGAAAAAGTGGGTGAAGCGCGAGCGCTAGTAGCGTTTCTGAGATGAAAAGCCATTGCCATAGAGAGTTTGGCGCGCAGAGTTTGGTCCCCCGGGGGGTCGACTTGCAGCCAAAGCTAGAGCAATTGCTCCGGCAAGACTCTTCGCAGGATTCAGCGGTCAACCTCCAGGATCGCAAACGCGTCGATGACCCGCTCAAATTCGACGGCTCTCCGCGCCGCTGAACCCTGTCACCGAGGACAAGAAGAAGAAGAGCAATAGACGGTTGCACCCGGCAAGAGAAGTCGCCGGCAGTTCACGATCGCATCGACGGGGAGGTGCAGCCCGCCGGGGCATTTGCAGTGCGCGGAGCCCTTCGTCCCGCAGGACCCCCAGCGCTCCCGGCAGCGGGCGGTAGACCCGACAGGGGCTCCGGGCCGAGACCAGAACATTGTTCCAGCTGGCCGCCTGCAGAGGACAAGTCGCTACTGACATCAGCTGCCAGACGACGTCCACGGAGAATTTCGTTATGAGACGCGGCCCAGGCTGGATCTCCGCCGACGGCTTCGTCTCTTGAGCTAAGTACGAAGCGACGCGTCCCGGGTGTGACGGGTTCAGGGAAGTCGAACGAATATATGTAGCGCAC